CAGCTAGGAATTCATTAATAGATCATTAAATATATTTTGTACATTACCTTCAAATCCTAACTATACCTAAACCTGCTCCTACCCCCATTCTAAGCCTATTTTAACTATCCTGTGAAATGAAGATGCCTATACTTACCTATGCTGAGGGTGCTCCAGTCCGGTCACATGATCAGGTCCCAGCACTGCCTTCGGTATAGAGGAGGGACAGCCAACAACGGATTCCCCATAGTAAGTCTATAGGTGAAGTCATCGCCCAGGCTCTGCAGCCATTGTTGGCAATCTCTACTCTACACTAAAGCCAACCCCTGGAGTGATAATGTAACCAGCCCAGAGTGCCCTCAGAATAGATAAGTATACACATCTTCCCTTTACAGAGTAGTTAGTGTAGGATAGGGGTGAGAGCAGGTTTAGGTATAGTTAGGATTTGACTGAAGTGCTAATTTAAAGTGATATTAAAGGTTCTTTTTTTTTTTTAATAGTAAACATGTCATACTTATCTGCTCCATTTACCATTATACCGTGGGATGTAGGCAATGTTTATGGGTTGTGGATGGTGGATTTACTTACTTACTTTCCTGCTCTGTGCAATAGTTTTGCACAGAGCAGCCCCGATACCCTTTTTCTCAGGTCCTCTGCCAGCACTCCTGGCTCCTTCCCTTTGACTAGTGCCCCCAATAGCAAGGCTCTTGCTATGGGGACACTGGTGCATTCTCGCTCCTGAGCCCTGCTTTGTGTCCACAAAGAGCCTCGGCTCTCCCACACTCTCACCTCAGTGGCCCACTGGCTGTGATTGACAGCAGTGGAAGCCAGTGGCTCCTGCTGCTGTGTTTCAGCCAGTGAGAGGAGAGAGACCTGGGACAGCTGAGGCTCCTGTGCACATCGCTGGATCGAGAGGGGACTTAGGTGAGTATTGGGGGTGCTGTGCGGGAAGCAGCACACAGAAGGTTTTTTACCTTCATGCATAGAATACATGAAGGTAAAAAAACCTTCAGCCTTTACAACCACTTTAAGTGTAAGTATCTGAGTTTGAGTTGGTATCAGCCTCTTGCAATATCCTTTATAGCAGAGGGAGGGACAATAGATTCATAACAGCTTTGCTAACATTGTGATTATGTGATCACATAGCGATTACATGATCTCTGGGTCCTGTTTACAGGGATCTTCATTCCGTTGTGTCCGGAAGGTACTGTACTAATACAGAGTGGAGTGCGCCCCCCTGTGTTAGTACAGCCAGTGTGACGTACCAGTACGTTGCTTTGCCTGTAGTTGCTGCCCATCTGCAGTACATTGTAGGTGGGTGGGCAGGTGGCAAGTGGTTAAACCCTTTTCTGTTCATCAAAAGAAAACAGAAAGTGGTGCAGTCCATTGGGTCCATTTACCATTAGAGATGTGCATGATGGAAACATTTGTTCCGTTTCGGATTAGTTAAGTTAACTTTGTTTCGTCATATTCGATGTTAGAATAATTTTTTTCGGAATTTGTTTGATATATTTGTTATTTTCAAACCAATTTGAAATTTGAAGGCATAGCACTATGGTGGTGATTCACACAGGCATGCTCACTAGAGCGAGTTCTGTTCCAGTTTGCACTCGCCAGGGTCTCAGACCAGATGATCCATTCTTTACGGAGTAGTAAAAGAAATAATGATTATGCATTGCACTGTTGGTGGACACTGAGTGACAGGGATCTGGAGCAGCAGATTAACATCATGAAGAAATCAAGTGTTTTTGAATGGCATAGGCGGTGTAAGGAGAGGTAGGAAGATGTCCACGATGACGCAAGAAGTAGGCAGTGAAAAAACGTAAAGGACAAATGCAAAACAGAACAGCGTGCAAACCCTCGTATGCTCAAATCGAAGATTGAGTGTGTTAATGTTGATGGCAGAAGAATTGAACATGAACAGGGAAACAGTGAGGGAGATTTACTAAAATTGGAGAGTGCAAAATCTGATTCAGCTCTGCATAGAAACCAATCGGCTTCCAGGTTTTTTGTCAAAACTTAATTACCTCTTGCCAACTGAGCTATAGCCGAATGACGGCTACAGCGTGGTTGTCCAGTTCTGAGAGGGTGTCATATGACGTTGTCCCAGAACACACCCTCCTGTGTGCCCCCAGCGGTTCACATGGCGATCTCCATGATCGCTGTGTCCTTCAGGCACAGCTGATCACGTGATGGGGTAAGAGGGCATCACTTCGGCTTTTTACCACATGATCAGCTGTGTCCAATGACACAGCAGATCACTGAGTAAATACAGTTGCTAGTTATCAGCAGCACTTTCTTCATGCTGTCACAGCATGAGGAAAGTACTGCCGATAACTGGCAATTGTCAGAGAACAGATTGGCACTGATGATCAGTGCCCAGCAGTGCCGCCCAGCAGTGCCACCCACAAGTGCCCAGTAGTGCCACCCACCAGGGCACATTAGTGCCTCCTAGCAGTGCCCAGCAGTGTCACCAATCAGTGCCATTCATCAGTGCTGCCAAACAGTGCCGCCCAGCAGTGCCACCCACAAGTGCCCAGCAGTGCCACCCACCAGTGTACATTAGTGCCTCCTAGCAGTGCCCAGCAGTGTCACCAATCAGTGCCATTCATCAGTGCTGCCAAACAGTGCCGCCCAGCAGTGCCACTCACAAGTGCCCAGCAGTGCCACCCACCAGTGTACATTAGTGCCTCCTAGCAGTGCCCAGCAGTGTCACCCATCAGTGCCATTCATCAGTGCTGCTAAGCAGTGTCGCCCAGCAGTTGCGCCCATCAGTTCTCAGCAGTACCGCCAGTCAAGTGCTGTCAGTCAGTGCCTCCAGTCAGTGCTGTCTGTCAGTGTCACCCATCAGTGCTGCCCATCAATGCCACCTATCAGTGTCCATCATTGCTGCATATCAGTGCAGCATCATCAGTGCTGCCTCATCAGTGCAGCCTATCAGTGCCCATCAGTGCCCATCAGTGTAGCTTCATCAACGCACATCAGTGATGGAGAAAAATTACCTGTTTTCAAAATTTTATAATAAAAACAAAGAAAAACTTGTTTTTTCAAATTTTTTGCTCTTTTTTTTGTTTATAGTGTAAAAAAATAAAACACCCAGAGGTGATTAAATACCACCAAAAGAAAGCTCTATTTGTGTGAAAAACAAAATGATACAAATTTCATGAGCACAGTGTTGCATGACCGTGCAATTGTCATTCAAAGTGTGACAGCACTGAAAGATGAAAATTGGCCTGGGCATGAAGGGGGTAAAAGTGCCCAGTAGGCAAGTGGTTAAGAAGTTAGAAGCTGATTGGCTACCATACACAGCTGCAAAAGATTTTGCACACTCCAGTTTTTCTTCCAGTGTGGCAGATTCTAATGAAGAATTTGGGAATGAGAAAGATTTCCGCAAAGATGGTGCCTCAAATCTTAACGGAAGATCAGAAAGAACGTTGTCTTCAAATTTCATCCAATCTTTTGAAGAAGATCTTCAAAAAAGATATTTTTTTTCACAGTCCATTCCAGGAATTAAATGATCACACTCATACAAACAGTTCCGAGCAATGTAAACTCTATTGTCCTCTACACAAGATCGTATATTAGTAGAACAGACCTAAAATTGTTAAACAGACTATAGTGGCTGTGGTGACAACTGAATAATCCAGAAATATGTGTTATTCCCTGTGTACATTTTACTAGCTGTTTTCATATTTATACATTTTGATAAGCGGGATATAAAGGTCTATTGTAATCTCGAGTTTGGAAATTCTCTCTAGTGTTTATTTTCTTTGGAGAAAAACAAAGCCAGACGTGTTCCTTTGTAGCATCATCCCCCTATAAAGGGACAAAATAATAAAACACCAAAATCTTCCATCACCACCTCCCACCTGGTGGCAGGTGCTCTTTCATGTTGTCAGATTTGATTTAAGCCTTTTATCTTGAATCACAAACAAGTTATCAAGTACTTTAAATCAAAGTATTAAAGGTAACACTGAAGATGTTGTTTTCCCGTACAATATATTTTCCACAAGACAGGGAAAGGTGTGTAAAGAGTACAAGAAACAACCATATTTAAGAAGGAATCGCAAAACACTAAATGTAGTCTTAGCCCCCGGTCACATCAAAACCAATTTTGAAATTGTGCGACTTACAGTGAAATTGCACGATTTCAGAGGTGGGTGACTGGCCAATTTCAGTTGTGATTTGCAAGACATCTTATACAGTTGTTTATGCAAATTGCAACAGAAGTAGTGCATGTACTACTTTAGAAATCGATGCGGCTCCAACCAAGTCGGAACCGCACTAATATGACTGCTCTAATAGTGGACAATAGGATGCGACTTGGCATCCGATTTGCAAATCGCATGCGACCGGGGGCTTAAAGTGTTACTAAATCCAGGACCCTGCATTCGCTATATCTAGTCTACCACAGTACACACAACATGGAGATGCAATTATTTTTGTAAATATAAACTGCTAAATACCTTTTCTCATCAGCAGTTAGGCTAGGTTCACACCTGTGCAGGTTGCGTTTGACCCAATTCTGCAACAGCCCTGTGCTGTTCACACTAAATGCTGGGGAAAGGTGTGAACCTAAGCTTAGTCTAGGTTCACACCTATGTGTTTTCTGCTGCGTTTTGCAGAAATGCACAGCAGTCCATTTAACATGATTTCCTATGGGACAAGTTCACATCTCCGCGTTTTGTGGAAAGGGTCAGGGACTTTTTTGAACACAAAAAGTTGCGTTTTAGGTTCTATAGACTTCAATGGAGGCACTACAGAAAAGCATGTAGTGCGTTTTTGATGCGTTTTATTCTGCCCAGCAACAAGTTGAAAAAAAAAAAGCAAAACACATCAAAAACGCGTGTGCAAAAATGCACTTCAAAAAGCACTGCAGAAACGGATCAAACACAAACTGGGCAGGTGTGAACCTAGCCTTAGAGCAGTCTTATGACTTCTATCAGTGTCCAGAAGAGCACAGGTTAAAGCTTGTAGGAGAAGCTTTCATTCTCCCCTGATTGTCCTATGAGGCTGCAGGACCCCTGACCCTCTGTCTGGACAGCTCTGATTAGCCCTGTGCTGTTCACACGCACTCTCCCATGACAAAAAAATAACTCTCTAGCAACACACACCAAACTGAGCATGTGCAGCTTGCCCCCAAGGCTCTGTTCTATCATTAGATGGATTGGGGACAGTAGAAGAAGGGGAGGATCAGAGAAGATATGATAAAACAGCATTTTTACACAATGCAGACTGATTTTACCGTTGTGGGTTTGGTAACACTTTAAAATAACTCTGTCATTAATTCTGACCAAGCAAGCTAACCTTTGAATGGAAGATAGTACAGGTAGGTGGCAATTGTTACCCTCCATATAACAAGATAATCCTGCAAGCAGGGCTGTATTTATCATTATATAGAATAGTCATGTGCCTATAGGGAGCAGAAGCAAAAAAGATGGCTTTCCCTGCCTAGCTATGAGCCACACATAGGGGTTGATTGACTAAAGACAAATAGGCTGGGCACTGCATGCGTGGTTGTTTTAGATCTGAGGAAAGCTCTGAAATGAAGCAAAGCTCTGCTCATTTTTTTCATCCAATCATGTGCAAGCAAAAATGCAAATTGCATGCCAAATCGCACCCACAGAGTGCGTTTAGTATGATCAGTCCTTCCGCCCTGCTGCCACTCCTGCGTTTGCACTTCTGGCAACTCCATTCTGTCTATAAGGCTGTATTCACATCTAAGCAAAGCGATTTTCAGGTAGTTTATTTTGAGCACTTTTCTGCACATATACAAGCATTTTAAAAGGCATATTTCAAACATTTTACATGTATATTTAAGCTTTAAGCATTTTTTTTGTTTTAGCTAGCTATAAACTCTAAAGGAGAATAGTTCTTACAGTCTAAAAAAAGCCTGAAATACTGAAAAAGTGCTAAAAAAATGCTCATCTTGAGTGTTTACAGGTGTTTCTATTGAAGTCTATGGGACCAAAAGGGCCTGAATTTACCTTTAATGTAGCTTATGTAGTTTTTGAAGCATCAGGCATTGAGCTACAAGCACTTGAGCATGTACAGTATATGTGAATGGCCAACATTTAGGGCCAGTTACACCTGAATCTCACAGGAATGCAGTCTGTGTTCCTGTGTGATTCCTGTGCAATTAAGTGCAGTGCAGGGGCGGACTGACCATTCGAGCACTCGGGCACTGCCCGAGGGGCCTGGGGTCAGTGGGGGGCCCAATAAAATGCCCCTGGTACCTTTTTATAGGCTTTTTTGGGTGTGATTTGAGTGTGGACAAGGACACAGGGGCCCCATGATCCCCAATTGCCCGGGGGCCCCACTCTATGGGCGGTCAGATGTTGATAGACTTCGTTTATACCCGACTGCCCTCTGATCTGATGCACCTGATGGAAGGGAGAGATCCCCTTTTGTTGCTTTTAGTGGACCGGATCAGATTGGACCTGCCGGTCTATGGGGACGCAAGGACCATCCAATTCCTCTTGGGCCAAAAAGTTTTCTATTTCCTTTAAATAAACGTTGTCTTTATTTAATCACACATATATTTATATTTTTTTTTTATAAATCATTAACATTTAAACTTTTTGTTTGTTTTTATTTGTTTTGTTCAGTAATTTTGTCGGTGTCATATAAAAAAAAAACAACATTGAAAAAAAAAAATTATACTTTTTATCTACAGTACGATTTTTTTAAACCTAACACTGATCAAAGCAGCAGAAGTGTGTTTTTTTTTTAATTTTGTTACTTTTATGTCTAGGGATTGCATAAAAACTAAAATATTTTTTGCAGAAAAACATCATGTAAAACAGTGGTTCTCAACCTGTGGGTCGCGACCCCTTTGGGGGTCGAACGACCCTTTCACAGGGGTCCCCTAAGACCATCAGAAAACACATATTTCCGATGTGTAAAGAGCAGCTACTGTGTAGAAAGCAGCTGCTGTGTTGAAAGCAGCTACTGTGTTGAAAGCAGCAGTATTGGAGGTAAAACGACACTCATGAATTATAATTACTGGGTAAATAATTTTATGGTTGGGGGTCACCACAACATGAGGAACTGTATTAAAGGGTCACGGCATTAGGAAGGTTGAGTACCACTGATGTAAAACATCATGTAAAGAAAAGCTTGTTTGTCCTTAAAAAAGATATGTGTTGGATAGTTACATATTTAGCCAGGTTGAAAAAAGACACTAATCCATCCAGTTCAACCAATAATAATATTAAAAACAAACACACATGCACAAATAGAAAATCTCCATATACACAATTTTATATCCACAGTTGATCCAGAGGAAGGGAAAAACCCCCAATAAATGTTACTTTGTTATTTTTAGTAATGACAATGTTTTTTGTCAAATAAACAGGCCTAGAGCAGAAATATAAAAATTGCTCTGGTGCATAAGCTAAATGCTGGGCGGCTGCAGCATAATATTTCCATGCAAAATCCTCCTTTGTCTGGAAGAACAACTACAAAAAAAAAAATCACAGGCATTCAGGAGGTAATACTGCCTATAAACTTTCACTGAAAAGCATTTCAACACAGATCGCTTGATACTTTTATGTAATCAATTTTTACCTTAAAGTGATATTAATAAAGGTATATTTCTTAAAATAACAAACTTGTCTATACCTACCTGCTCTGTGCAGTGGTTTTGCACAAAGCAGCCCTGATACTCCTCTTCGTGGGTCCCCTCTGGCTCTCCAGGCCCCTCCCTCCTGCTGAGTGCTCCCAGAGCAAGCAGTTTGCTAAGAGGGCACCCAAGCAGGCTCACTCCCAAGCTGCTGCTCTGTGCATCCTTTCACACACAGAGCCACCCCCTCTCTCTCATTTGCTCACTGTCTGTGATTGACAGCAATGAAGCCAATGACTGCTGCAGTTTCAGCCAATAAGGATGGAAAGACCCAGGAGAGCCGAGGCTCTCGTACACATCGCTAGATTGCAATGGGGCTCAGGTGAGTCTTATGGGGGCTGGGGAGCTTCTGCACACAGAAGGTTTTTTACCTTCATGCATAGAATGCATGAAAGTAAAAAACCTTGAGCCTTTACAACCACTTTAATGCAAGGAATGCATTAAAATATTACTAAACCCACAACAGTAAAATCAGTCTGTATATGCAGTAAAGCGTGTTTGTTATACTCACTGTGGAACCTAAGGGGTTAATCCTCTGCATTGTGTAAAAAGGCCATTTGATAATTTCTTCTCTGCCCCTCCTCTTGTTCAGATGTCCACCTAATAAGACAGATTGAACCTGTAGCCCCATGCACATGCTCAGTTTAGTGTGTATTGCTAGAGAGGTTTTTTTTTTTTTTCTTGGGAGAGTGCATGTGATCATCACAGGGCCAATCAGCACTGTCCAGACAGAGGTAAGGGGTTTTGCATCCTCCTAGAGCAGAAAGAAAACTCCTCCTACAAGCTTTAACCAGTGCTCTGCTGGACACTGCTAGAAGTCACAAGACTGCTCTAACTGCTGATGAGAAAAGGTATTTAGCAATTTATATTTACTAAAATAATTGCATGTTCATGTTCTGTGTACTGTGGGAGACCAGATATAGTGAATGCAGGGTCCTGGGTTTAGTAACACTTTAAGGTAAAAAATGTTTAGGCTTTAGAACCACTTTAAATATACTGCACCATCAAACAAAGATTTTTAATATGCAGATATGTACTGATACTTAAACATGTGCATGTTCAGATGTTAGTTATAGATTTTGTTTTACATAAATTAACTTGTATTTTCAGGTTCACTGCTTTATTGTCAAGACTACAACAGATTTTAGAATTTGGAAGAGGAGCAAAGGAAAGACCGTCTTTCTTTCTTAAATATCTGGTTAGGCTTCACTGAAAGCACAGCACTATGTCAGATTGTCTTCTCAAATGTGGCAAGTTATTTGGGAGATTGATAAAGTGCAATGGAGAATAACACGAGTGATAAGTGGTTTTCATCAAAAAGATACAAAGAAGTATTAGTTACAGTTAGCCTTTTGTTAAGGATGATTAAAGTCATTTAACATTGCAGTTTTGTAAGAAGTAGAATGAGACCTTTGTTTATATGTTTAAAGCTGAATTTAAGCAAGCGGCTACATACACAGTCAAAATATATGAATAGAATGCGATTCATTTACAATGCGATCTGTGCAGTTAAATAGGAGATCGAGGCTCCACTACCAGAACAACAAGCCATTGACAGGCATTGCAGCAGCAGCACAGGTTGCAATGTAAATTCTTGTGATTTACAATAGTTGAGATTTCATGCAGATTGCTGCTTTTTGTAATATACTTTGAGCAATACATCACTCAGTTTACTTTTGGTCCAGCCTACAAACTGGTGCAAATATTGGACTATTTCACCATAACAGAAACAGCTGGACATGCCGTAACCTGATGGGATCTGTGACAGGGTAGATAATGGCTGTGCCATACTAATACCACAGACAGTTTTCTTCCCCAGAGTCTAGGGAATGGTGTATAAAGTAAACACTTACATGGCACTTTGCTTGTTAAAGTGAAACTTCACTCTCTTAATCAACATTATGCGGCTATCATTAGTAAATAGATAGGAAATTGTATCATATTTACTTGTTTTAAACAGATTTTTATATCTCTTTAGTTACTTTCTAGTTTGCATGCCTAGGCAAATGATGCCATACATCCCAGGAGTCTTTGGGGGGGGGAGGATTTTCTCAGCTAAACACACCCTCCTGCATCACCTTCCCTATGGAGACCACTGCTTTAGTTTGGAGGCAGGTTATGATGGCAATGAGTGCACCAGGACTATCTCCACCTCATCATCCACTTTGGGGTAATTCTACCTTGGTTGATCTGCAGTCTGTACCGGATCCACAAGTCTGGGCCAGGTATGGTGTCAGGACTCTGCATCATATTATGCCTGAAGGCATTCTCCTTTCCTTTGATGAGTTGAAACGTCAATTTCAACTACCTTCCTGGATGTTCTTCAGGTGTTTACAGTTCAGACATGCGGTGCAAGTACAATTTCCTGGCTCTATTACCTTGGCTTTCATTCAGCGGAGAGGCTTTTAATTGTCCGAATTATCAATAGATCACTGTCTTCTATATATATTAGAATCACAGCTGGTGACAGTGCTAAATCTACTAATCTATATAATACATGGCACTGTGACCTACCTAACTTAACTAGTGAAGACTGTGAGGACGGGCTCCAGCAATATCTTCCCCTGATGATCCCGGCCAGAGATCACCTAGTTCAGTTTAAGTTCCTTCATACAGTGTATTACACTCCCCAGAGACCATCAGCCATCTACCACACCACCCAAGCAAATTGTCCTAAATGTCAAACTGAGGTGGGAAACTTTCTTCACATGATCTGGTCCTATACTTTTATCCAAGACTTTTGGTTGGTGGTGGTTGCAGACATAAACAAAATCAGTAGTGTCACTATGACTCTTCACCCCTTCTTATTATTGTTGGGTATAACTGATAATCTCCATGCTACCACTCACTAGAAGCTGTTTCTATTTTATGCCGCATGTTATGCTAGGAAGGCAATTCTCTCTAAGTGGAAGATGGCATATCCTCCAACTGTATCAGCCTGGAGGTCTATGATTGATGCAGTCCTTCCCCTTTATTGTCTCATGTGACTGTACACAACAATTTGGGAAAATAAGATCAGCTTGGGTAAAAGCTAGGAATCTTACCTTTGATTAAATGGTATATTGATTTTTTTCCCCTTTTTAAGTTTTACCCACTTCCCTTTCCCTCCCCAACCCGCTCCTCTTTTTATTCCTGTGATGCCCTTCCCCCTTCTCAAGCCTCTTCTTTTCCCCCTTTTTTCCTCTTTTATTTTTATGTCCTTCTGCCAACTCTTTTATGGGAAACAATTTTTTTCCCATGCCATTTTGTCTTTAATGAATCTCTTGGGAAACCAATAGCAGAGTACAGATAGCTATGACTTACTGATGGTGTAAATCTCTGCAGTAGCCCTGGGTTAGATGATACATGTTTTGCAGGATCCCCCGGAGATGTTAATCTGTTGATGCCTCTCAGAGAAATTCTCTTGATTGCTGTATGAGCCTGTCTTGTATTGCTTAGTCTGTTTTTGATTTGCATGTGTAACACTACACTATGTTTCAATAAATTTTCATCTGTTAACAAAGACAAAAACACACCCTCCAGCCTGCACGCCTGAGCTAAGCGCAGATGGATTCCAAGAAGTAAATGAAACTTTAATCCTCTGCCATTACTCAAGATAGCCAGAGCCAGAAATGCCAGGAGTGTTTTTCTAAGTGATTTCTCAGCAAAATTATGGATTCATGGATGGATGGCCGAATTTGCTTTGAAAAATTAATTAAATAGCGCTTTTGGCTTGTGGTGGTCAGATACAGTGTAGTTCTACTTTCTCATGACAGTTGGCAGATAAACACACCTAAGGGAAACCAACATAAAATATATTTTGGAATGACCAGTGTTGCTACAAATTTACATATAACCCTATGGAAAGAAAATCCCTTTAAAAACTGCTGACTGTCCTTTGGTCAAAGAAGGTACACTCAAACTCAGACTCTCAGGCTGCCAGCCTGCCAGCCTTTACATGAGTGTTTACTAACTACCCAAGTGATATACCTACTTGCTTCAAGTGGCCAACAAAGATTCATCTAGAAGAGGCTCCTCTACACAGCCATACTTCCACGATCATTATTATAGGCTTTCTGAAAAGTAGGAGGGTTGTGGATCAACTACCACCTCCAAGTCAATAGTCAACTTTATCTGGAACCCAGTTGCCCATGCAGCACATCACCTCATCTCATCCCTGTGAACAGGCCACTACATAATTCCAAGTTTACACCAGCAAGGATAGAAACTATAGCAAAATGAATGACAAGCAAATGACCAGGCAGCACATCACTACACCCCTAGGAATGGGTCATTGCTCAACTTCATTCCATCATGGATACAAATTATAGCAAATCAAACAACCATGCAGAACATCACGAAACCTGTAGGAGTGAGTCATTACACAAACCCATATTAACTTCATTATAGGTACCAAAGATAGCTGACGGAGCCTGGATCTGAGCCCGAGACCTCTGCTGTGTATGGCAGTAACTCTTCTGGCTGAACCACCTGAGATGCTGGACAGCTTCCTTCTGATCAACTGTGAATTATGAACTCCTTGCTCCTCTCATGAACTTCCTATTTAAGCCATGCCTTTACACCTCCTGTTTGCCAGATGATTGTGCTCTCTCCAGCCAAAATCTTGTTCTTGTCACTCCTGCTGCTGTCTGTATCCCCATTAGCACTTGTTACTAACCTTTGGCTTATTCCTCGACTACACTTCGACTTAATCCCAACCTGTAACCATGTGTTACTGCCCTTTGACTTGTTTATTGACTATGCTTCTGCTTCATCCCTACCTGCTATATCTGCTGCTGGACCCAGGTTTGCTCACCTCCTGGTGGGGTGATTCTGAGCACCGCGACTTGGTACAAACACGCAACAACACCTATCTCCACCAGCAGCAGCTCTGGTGAACACTGGTTAGTGCTTAGACTCTCACCTCACGTGAGCCCGTGTCATCCAGGGTGACCTACTGCTGCACATATCCAGCTGGTTGGTGGAAGCCTCTCTACTGCTTTGGCTACTGGCCTCTGTGCCTGACCCACAGCTTTGACAATAGCAAAACAAAGTGTGTCCTATAGACTTGATCTGGAATTCACGAACTGTACTGCACCAAAGCATAAAACCACATGCAGAAAAACTTTAATCAAAGTGAAGTGTTCTCGCTACCCTTTTCAAGTAACTATAGCCTACATGTCAGGTAATTACACTGATTTAAAGATTATATTAAGGGATATAGGGGAATGATGGAAGTGTTGAGGTCTCTTGCCAGAATCTAATAATACTGAATAGCTTAATATAGTAAAGGATTTGTATGGGTCCTCATTTTATGAAAGCATTTCCTAAAAGTAATCAAAAAAATTTCATATAAAATATGCGTACTGTGCTGGTTGAACCTACATATGGATGATAGCTGGAGGGCACACAAGACACAGAAATATTTCTGGTGTGAAATGTATGTATTCTCTGAGTTTAATAGCATAACTGATAGCAACTGTACACACCTTTATTCTGCAAACAAAGTAGCGAGAAACGGTGATGAATTACTGCCCGAATGACAGGAGACAGATCATTAGCTACATATGCTGGGTCTGTGTGCGGAACATTAGAATGAAAGACGAACGACATGTTTTCCCTTTATTAGACAACAGAACCAGCCTTCACAATTCACAGCTAATTACTCTGTATAATAGGAATACCACCTATTGGAAATCAAATCATCTACTACAAATAGAGGTTGTGGATTGGATTTAGTGCTGTGCTTTACTCCAACTCTGGAGAAGCCCGGTTTCAGCCTGGGATTATCCCATCTATTGCGTCACCACAATTTACAAACTACTGGCAGCTGCCCTTTATTTACTTTAAAGGCTATAAGCAAATTGTATGGACATTGTTTATTAATGGACCTGATTTATCAAGCTAGAATAGTACTAAAGGTGTGCTTAAAGCGGAGTTCCAGTTGAATAAAAAAAAAAAAAACAGTCATCAGC